TTCTTGCATCTATACTGCAAGTTTTATTTGAAATTATCGTTAATGCAATTAGACTGTGGCTAAATAAATTAAAAAATACAACATCAATCCTCCGAAGACTACCTCTTGATGTTTTCCTGAAATTCTGAATCACATCTAGTCTCGACTACTGTCTCGAAACCCAAAACAAGACAAGACAACGCCAAGCGCACTTTTGTAATCTCTTGAAGCTTTATTGGGAGAACTAAGTTTACGAGTATGTACGGTGTTTGTATGGACTGTGACATCTTTGAGGGTGGTAAATTTTTTATGACACATGGAGCAACGATAATTACGCTCGTTGTGAGCAAACATGTGCTTCAAATAGTGACCGGACCTTTTAAACTCTTTTTTGCACATCGAGCAGTTATAGCGATGATCTCTGAGCAGGTGCATGGACAGTTCAATAGTATTTTGAAAATTTAATTGGCACTGAGGACAAGGATGTTGCGCACTTGTATGTCTCGAATCATGAGATTTCATATGATTTTGGAGATCCGTGGAATCGTCGAAATCGAATAAATGCTTCATCTCTGTGTTTATGTGGTTTTCGTGCATACTTGATTTCGATTAGCTGCAAAGTTATAATTTTATGTCACAGATGTTCCTCACTTTGGTAGTTTAAGTTATTTGCGATGTTGTTACTGTTGCCGTTTCAATTTTTATTTATTTATTTTTTTTTTTGGTTCTGGAATGGTTCTGCAATACTTCTTTTTGTTGAGATGACCTTGTTCTGTTTCTGAAAAATTAACTATGTTAATCAACGTCGATTCGTAATTTATTCACTAAGAAAATTAACGTTATGAAACTTTACGTTAGTACGTATATTTAAAAAAAAGTACTATTCATTATTTTGTACAGTGCTACATGGTAATAAAGTTCTTACTTTCTGCTAACGTTTTCAAATAATATTTTTTTTGTTTCTAAGATAAATTGTAAAATCGTGTGAAATTGTGGAATCGAATTCCTGAGATACATAATTTTTATTGTTTTAAACAAAGAAAAATATGTAGTCACGATCAAAGTAAATTTTTTTTTTTTTTTTAATATCAAAACATTATAGTACAAAAAGTCTTTTCACCTAATAATTATAAATAATTTACCTTAGAGATAGCTTCAAACTATAGTTTCTTCTCTCATAAAACCACTTCCAATTCAGAACTCACTTGCTCGGTTTTAGTTAGACTATCCTCTTATTATCTACTGGACCAATTTTTTTGGTTAGTCAACTACACTGTTAATAATTTGCCAAACGATGTATATCTGATCATATGTGCGTTGCTTGATTTACTCGTCTTATAAAAGAAAGCTTGACGAAAATTGTTGAAATATACTTTTAACGAATCACTAAAAACTCTAGCCCACGCAGTTAAATGGTTAGGGAGCGAGTGCTTTCACTAAACGCATATGTGAGCTATGAAATATCACTCTATTAAAGTAAGCGGTTATCATTAATGGTATCGCAATATATGTTTTCTGTTTCTGTCAGACAGTAGCGTTGATTAGATTGTTACAGCCCACGGTTACTGTTAAAAGTAATTTGGTTTCAGAGATAAGAAATTTGTCAGTACAAAGGAAGCTCTGAGAAAGTGGTAATTTCTGAGACTCGTACTCTTATGAAAAACTTTATTTGAAAAATGATGAAATAAAAAAAAAAATCTAGTGTCATAACAATTTTTATGCAAAATTTGAAAATATGCAAAAGTCTTTTAAATAATTCTAGTTGATTTACAACAGTTGTGTACAGTTATACTAGTTGACATTGATTAACTCATTCGAAAATGTGTTTTGATACCTATCGTAGACATTTTGTTTGACAAATAATTTTCTTCTCAATTTGGCTTGGTAAAGGTAATATACCCTGACAGAAAAATGCTGTGATTTTTGAAGAGCCTAGAAAGTGTCATTGGCAAATTTTTTAAATACATTTATCCACCTGTGTTTTATTAAATGACATAGTACGTAACTTGAAATATGACAAAAATGTCTTTATAAATATGTATTCTGGTATAAGGTAGAATTTTTTTATTTATTTAATATTTATTTTTAATTACAAATTTTTTTCAAAGAATCAGGAAATAATTTTTAGCATTTTTTCCAATTTTTCAACAATTTATTTACTTTGAAACACTACTTATTTTTATATTTCAATGTACATTGTATTATTTTAATGTTATATGACAAATATTTATTGGTAGAGAAGTTTTTTTACGTATTAATTTTGATAAACTGTGTAGTCCAGATTTTTGTAGATTGCCAGTAGATTCTAAAATGGCACATTATATATAAAATTTGCTTGTGTTTAAATCCTTTATGACATTCTTTCACTGCGTATGCAAGTACATACTGTTAAATTCTTTTCAAACTATAGCATTGTTGTGATAAAAATTTTCGTAGTTAACATCGTACCATATACTTTTGAAAAAATTTATCGTGAACTATTATCAATGTAATTGATGTAAAAAATTTCTAGTGCATGTACTTATTAGCATCGAGTTCAATAATGGCCATGTTATCAGTCCATTGTTCTTACCAAACGTAGTAAATTGAAGGCAACCAATGAATAAACTGTAATGCCAAAACCTTTTTTAAAATTCTTTCAGCCCACCTCTGAAAAATCATCGACGAATTATTATTTCATCCCGACCTGTATACGCACGGACTCCGTCTACCTGTCCATATCTTCGTCATTGACCTTTGAGTCGACTCCCGCTCGATCTTTTCACATTGTCCCTATACCTTGTTTTTGTTTTTGCGAGTACTCGCACCGTATGGTGTATGCCATATGTCAGCTCGTAAGAAAGATCGATAAGCTTGAAATAAGGCGAGTGCGCGCTTGAGGACAAGGAAGAAAGAGAGAGAGAGGAGGAGGAAAAAAACACAAAGAAGCAGCAGCAGCAAAAGAGGAGGAACGGTATGAGGGCGCAAAAAAAGTGGTACATCGTTCTCTCGCGCGCAACTCTGCTCTCCCTCCCTCCCTCTCTCTCCCTGTCTTTCGCGGACACGGCGATAAAAATGAGAAAATTTATCGTGATTTTTCGAGGAGCGGCCCTTTTCGCTAGCCAAGCACAAACGTATATATACACGTACATATAGCGTATACAATAATACAGAGTGAAAAAATGGCTGAAATTGCGCGCAATACAAGTACCGTCCGCGAGATAATATCTAATAAAACTTGTCGTGCTTTATACCGGGCATCTCTTGAATAACATATAGAACTGTAGTATATTAGATCGATCCCTCCGATAGAGCGCATACACGTACACGCTTGATGAACAGTGTGCGCGATTCGGACAGTATATTTTCAGACGCACGTGTGCGCCGTTGGAAAATATTATTGTTTCGCGGACAACATGAGTCGGACTAAGGTTGGGCGCTCGGTCGAATAAATCTTTCGACTGTGACGCACGTACTGTGCAAATATGCTTTTCTGTTACGTCGATTTCAGAGTGTCTGTGAATTTTATTGAGCCATTTTTGACAAAAGGATCAAAACAAAAATTGTTATCAAGATAATCAAGGTAAGCTGATGAATTAGCGCGCATATTGACGCCCTTTTCTTTGAAGGAAAAAAATGCTGCTTTATATTTGTTGTTCTACTTATTTTAAAATGATTCGCACGATTTGTGTTGTTGACGTTACTTTTATTTATACTTAAAAATATTTTTATACCACATTACCTAGTAAGTATGTATAAATAAGAGTAAAAAATCTTTCTTACTTTTAAGTTTTTTATTGTAACTTGTTGATTGTTTGTTTGAAAAAAAAAAATAAATACATTTTCCAATTACTACATAAATAAATATCTTATTTTTTTTTCAGATAACTGAACAAGGCACCATAACGTATTAAAAATGTTCAAAAATTTCTGTGGTATTTTGTACACTGTATTAGCTAATTGAAAAATGTTTTGTTTGGTAATTTATTTAGTTTTTGTAAAATATATTATTATTGACAATTATAAAACAAAATACTACATTTTTAAAATAAAAGTCTAATTTTTTGAAATTGATGCAAACATTTGTTAATAAATAAAATTTCAGCGTCTTTTATTTCAAATGATTCTGTTACATTATTTCGTCTTTGTTTTAATACCGAATTAATCAAAAATCTATCTGAAAAACAAGCTTTGCACCGAGAAAATAAAACAACTCACAACCATTGAATTTTAAATTAAGGTTTTTTATTTTGTATAATCGTCAAGTCAACGATGTCACAGTTTTTCGAAACCTAAACCCGTTATGCGGGTAACAAGCGTCTTTAGCAACCAAAATTAAAAACAAAACAACTTTTTTTTGACAACACATTTCAGTTTCTTCTCATGCTAAATTCATTGTCTCACAGAGATAAATAATAAGAGAATAACATTCAGAACTTTTAATGTTTATTCTCTAATGCTTCCAACGGTGTAAGAATAAAAATGTACTTTTTTACATGATTAAAATTTTTTTATGTGCTTAATAAAAGATGTTAATTTCAAGATCGAATGTGCACCTACAAAAGTCGATGAGATAATAAAGTGGAATAATATCATCCCCATATTCCGTCTAATTCTTATCTACGTTATATCCAACTAATCCAATATACACATGACGCATGTTGGGGTTCAGTATCGTTATCTCAATCGATGAAATGAACAGTTTGAAATTAGTGCAGCTCAGCTTAAAAAATGTTCTGTCGATTTCTCTTACGTGGTTGTTATTCAATTGGAAGTTACTTCCAGAAAACTCAGTAGTTTTAACAATAGTTTCTCTCAGGTAAACTACTGTTTCTAAAATTTAATTCAACTGCTCAAATATTATGTGGTGCTTGTGTTTCATGGATATGATTTTAATTTTATTCTAAACCAAAAAGACGTATAGTCAGTTGACAAACACATCTGTCAAACTTACGTCAGTGAAATATCTACTTTTTGAGTATAAAACTGACTTTTTTTACCACAATTTTTTAGTCAAATAATCTTGCGAAAAAACGTCTGAAATGGCGTGGAACTATCTATTTTTTGTTTTATCAACGTTTTTCGTCATTCTTATTGCCAACGGTATGTTTTAGTGAGCCTCATATTTTTTGTTAAAATTAGAAAATTCGAAATTCAAACTGTAAACACTGTAAACTAATAGTTACCCACAGTACAGAGAAAATCGATTTAATTATATAAAGATTTTTAGCTACTTCACTTTTCTATTATTTTACGATAAATTATTTCGCATACAGTAATTTTTTTTTGTAAATATGTATAGTCCATTATGCAGCAAGCGAACAAACATAGCGGTTTACGTACAAGTGAAAATTTTAATGCTCTATTTGTCACTCAAACAAATCAAGGTGAAAAATTACCTAAGTTTTTGCTTCACTGTGTGCACTTGCTGTGTGATGTTTTTTATACTTTTGGTGTTTTTTATTTAATTTTATTTTAATTTTTTAATTTTTTTTTTTTTTTACTGCGGGTTTTTAAGTGGTACTGCCTCCTCAGTAGGAAAAACTGTGCTAGTAAAAAACGAAGTTATTGGATTTTTTTTTCAGCTCATGGTTTGGACTCGGAAAATATTATTGGGGGTACGCCAGCAGATATAAATAGCAACAATTTTATGGTTTCTATACATACTAAATCATACCAAATTTGTGGTGGCGCTCTCATTGACGCTGATGTGGTTTTAACTGCAGCTCATTGCTTTGACACAAATGGAACAAGATATATTCCTTTTGAATACCGAAACAACACGTTCTTTGTTGTCGCTGGGACAAAAGACGCGGCAGATTTCACTCACAGAATACGTGTGGACAAAATTTATTTACACGCTCAGTACAGCAAAAATCGTAGTATTTTCAATGACATTGCTATCTTAAAGGTAATTACATAATTAACATTCATACAAATCATGCACATCTTTTACTACTACTGCAATTTAATTCAATGGATTTTTTTTTTAAATACCGTCAAGCTAACCTCGTAATCTGTTCTGACTAATAACACAAAAATGAGGTCACGTAACAATAAATCTTTTAAAATTAAAAGTAATGTAGCAGCCGAAGATAAAAATAAAATTATGAACTAACATACCATAAATCAGAAAAAAAAAACTGTAACAGAAAAGAGTTAAATCAATTATCTTTACCTCGATAAAGACTAATCATATATCCAAATAAAATGAAGATTAGTTAAAATACTCCAGTGAAATAAATTTGTAGATCCGTAGTTGTTTAATGGGCATGTCTATTGTACGAGGATAGACGTTTTACATTCGAGACTAATAAACAGGAAAATGGTTTTTTCTTTGATTTTGTTGACTTGCTCTCACTTATTACATGATTTCTTTTCAGCTTAAAGAAAAATTCGATGTGGTAAATTATTCGAATATTGGGGTAGCGCGCTTGCCAAAAATTGATGAAGATTATGAAGGAAAAGTAGGAAGGGTATTAGGTTTTGGTGCAGATGCCGTTAGATACTCGAAGTCTAAAAAAATCTGGAAACCGTCAAGATATCTTGAAACATTGCAACAAGCAACTGTACAAATCGTGGATCCGAAAAAGTGTAAGGTTCACAAGTATCAAGATTTTTTATGTGGAATGACTATACCGCTCGAAGGTCAAGGCGTTGCATGCGCTGTGGGCGTTTGCAAAGTAAGTAATAAAAAAATTTCATTTTTCTACAATTTTTTTGAAATTACCTTTTCACCTGCACTACCTTCTTAGTACATATGCTTATTTTTTAGCCGACAAATGATTAGAATTATTTGGTTTTCAGGGTGATAGTGGTGGTCCTCTTATGCTGAATGACACAGTTATTGGAATTGTGAGTACATCACAGTTAAACTACGATAATAGATTTGAACCGGCAACATACATCAAAGTTTCAAAGTATTTAAACTTTATTGAAAATGCGATACGTGGCTATGAAAGTATCGACACAGTGGTTATACCTGTAAAGAGTAGGAAACGCAAAATTTAATATTAGTTTCATAAGCAGTTGAGGCACAGTTCAATATAATTAAAAATAGTCGCAAAACAAAAAACGTGTCCGAAAAATTGAAACTAGTCAGCTCAAAGCCTCTTTCATTGCAATGATTAAATTAGGGGAAAAAAAAAAATAAATAAATAATGATAACACAAAATAATTAATAAAAATATATAATTCAATAGCCGTGCCAAGGGGACAAATATTTGTAAAAAGAATATGTATATTCTGTACAATGGAAATAAAAATTATTAAACTATAATTCAATAGCTATTCTGTCAATTATTTTTTTCCACTTTTGTATGATTTTTCGACTATCTCCGTATGTCTTTCTTTGGGTACACTGGACAACAATTTATGGAATTTGTAATTTTTTAAAGACCGATAACTTAGTAAATGTAATATTTTAAAGGTATTATTCCCATATTTTTTACTCGCATCCCGAAGTAAGGAACTATGGCAGCCTTAATTTAAAATTAAAAATTAATCTTACGCTAAACGATGTAGAACCAATTTCTATAAAATAAAGCCTAAAGATTTTGGTTTTTTTATTCGTGTAAAAATTTTAACTATTAACATTATTTTCGTTATGCTCAGTAAATCAACACCAATTCTGTGAGTATAATGCTTGAGGAAGCTTTGTACTGATTTATTGACAGCGATTTGTTTTTTATTTTACAGATAAAATTTTTTTTTCTGACTTCAAGTGATATACATGTTTTTACTTTTTTAATTATTGATTTTTTAATTATTTAATTTTAATTGTTTCTTATAAATTCAAAAATACATGTAAAAGTTGTAATAAAATTAAAATTTTTTTATGTGCTTAATAAAAGATGTTAATTTCAAGATCGAATGTGCACCTACATTTTTTTAATATCAAAACATTATAGTACAAAAAGTCTTTTCACCTAATAATTATAAATAATTTACCTTAGAGATAGCTTCAAACTATAGTTTCTTCTCTCATAAAACCACTTCCAATTCAGAACTCACTTGCTCGGTTTTAGTTAGACTATCCTCTTATTATCTACTGGACCAATTTTTTTGGTTAGTCAACTACACTGTTAATAATTTGCCAAACGATGTATATCTGATCATATGTGCGTTGCTTGATTTACTCGTCTTATAAAAGAAAGCTTGACGAAAATTGTTGAAATATACTTTTAACGAATCACTAAAAACTCTAGCCCACGCAGTTAAATGGTTAGGGAGCGAGTGCTTTCACTAAACGCATATGTGAGCTATGAAATATCACTCTATTAAAGTAAGCGGTTATCATTAATGGTATCGCAATATATGTTTTCTGTTTCTGTCAGACAGTAGCGTTGATTAGATTGTTACAGCCCACGGTTACTGTTAAAAGTAATTTGGTTTCAGAGATAAGAAATTTGTCAGTACAAAGGAAGCTCTGAGAAAGTGGTAATTTCTGAGACTCGTACTCTTATGAAAAACTTTATTTGAAAAATGATGAAATAAAAAAAAAAATCTAGTGTCATAACAATTTTTATGCAAAATTTGAAAATATGCAAAAGTCTTTTAAATAATTCTAGTTGATTTACAACAGTTGTGTACAGTTATACTAGTTGACATTGATTAACTCATTCGAAAATGTGTTTTGATACCTATCGTAGACATTTTGTTTGACAAATAATTTTCTTCTCAATTTGGCTTGGTAAAGGTAATATACCCTGACAGAAAAATGCTGTGATTTTTGAAGAGCCTAGAAAGTGTCATTGGCAAATTTTTTAAATACATTTATCCACCTGTGTTTTATTAAATGACATAGTACGTAACTTGAAATATGACAAAAATGTCTTTATAAATATGTATTCTGGTATAAGGTAGAATTTTTTTATTTATTTAATATTTATTTTTAATTACAAATTTTTTTCAAAGAATCAGGAAATAATTTTTAGCATTTTTTCCAATTTTTCAACAATTTATTTACTTTGAAACACTACTTATTTTTATATTTCAATGTACATTGTATTATTTTAATGTTATATGACAAATATTTATTGGTAGAGAAGTTTTTTTACGTATTAATTTTGATAAACTGTGTAGTCCAGATTTTTGTAGATTGCCAGTAGATTCTAAAATGGCACATTATATATAAAATTTGCTTGTGTTTAAATCCTTTATGACATTCTTTCACTGCGTATGCAAGTACATACTGTTAAATTCTTTTCAAACTATAGCATTGTTGTGATAAAAATTTTCGTAGTTAACATCGTACCATATACTTTTGAAAAAATTTATCGTGAACTATTATCAATGTAATTGATGTAAAAAATTTCTAGTGCATGTACTTATTAGCATCGAGTTCAATAATGGCCATGTTATCAGTCCATTGTTCTTACCAAACGTAGTAAATTGAAGGCAACCAATGAATAAACTGTAATGCCAAAACCTTTTTTAAAATTCTTTCAGCCCACCTCTGAAAAATCATCGACGAATTATTATTTCATCCCGACCTGTATACGCACGGACTCCGTCTACCTGTCCATATCTTCGTCATTGACCTTTGAGTCGACTCCCGCTCGATCTTTTCACATTGTCCCTATACCTTGTTTTTGTTTTTGCGAGTACTCGCACCGTATGGTGTATGCCATATGTCAGCTCGTAAGAAAGATCGATAAGCTTGAAATAAGGCGAGTGCGCGCTTGAGGACAAGGAAGAAAGAGAGAGAGAGGAGGAGGAAAAAAACACAAAGAAGCAGCAGCAGCAAAAGAGGAGGAACGGTATGAGGGCGCAAAAAAAGTGGTACATCGTTCTCTCGCGCGCAACTCTGCTCTCCCTCCCTCCCTCTCTCTCCCTGTCTTTCGCGGACACGGCGATAAAAATGAGAAAATTTATCGTGATTTTTCGAGGAGCGGCCCTTTTCGCTAGCCAAGCACAAACGTATATATACACGTACATATAGCGTATACAATAATACAGAGTGAAAAAATGGCTGAAATTGCGCGCAATACAAGTACCGTCCGCGAGATAATATCTAATAAAACTTGTCGTGCTTTATACCGGGCATCTCTTGAATAACATATAGAACTGTAGTATATTAGATCGATCCCTCCGATAGAGCGCATACACGTACACGCTTGATGAACAGTGTGCGCGATTCGGACAGTATATTTTCAGACGCACGTGTGCGCCGTTGGAAAATATTATTGTTTCGCGGACAACATGAGTCGGACTAAGGTTGGGCGCTCGGTCGAATAAATCTTTCGACTGTGACGCACGTACTGTGCAAATATGCTTTTCTGTTACGTCGATTTCAGAGTGTCTGTGAATTTTATTGAGCCATTTTTGACAAAAGGATCAAAACAAAAATTGTTATCAAGATAATCAAGGTAAGCTGATGAATTAGCGCGCATATTGACGCCCTTTTCTTTGAAGGAAAAAAATGCTGCTTTATATTTGTTGTTCTACTTATTTTAAAATGATTCGCACGATTTGTGTTGTTGACGTTACTTTTATTTATACTTAAAAATATTTTTATACCACATTACCTAGTAAGTATGTATAAATAAGAGTAAAAAATCTTTCTTACTTTTAAGTTTTTTATTGTAACTTGTTGATTGTTTGTTTGAAAAAAAAAAATAAATACATTTTCCAATTACTACATAAATAAATATCTTATTTTTTTTTCAGATAACTGAACAAGGCACCATAACGTATTAAAAATGTTCAAAAATTTCTGTGGTATTTTGTACACTGTATTAGCTAATTGAAAAATGTTTTGTTTGGTAATTTATTTAGTTTTTGTAAAATATATTATTATTGACAATTATAAAACAAAATACTACATTTTTAAAATAAAAGTCTAATTTTTTGAAATTGATGCAAACATTTGTTAATAAATAAAATTTCAGCGTCTTTTATTTCAAATGATT